TGTGCTCACCTTTCTAGCATGTTTTGGCCTCTTCCCATGCATGTTCTAGCCTTGTTTTGGACTGCCTTAGAACTGTTTTGGGTCACCTTGGTCCTTTGGGGCTTGGTCGATATGGCCATGGTTTAGGTACCTTGGCTAGCTTTGAACTTAAAGTTCATTAGCATGCCTTGCCTGTGTTATGTGTTTGATTTGGCATCACTCTTAACATAATTTCAGAACTTATGGTGTCACCATGCTACCATGATTGTCACCCCTCGCTCATGTTTGGGTGTTGTGACCTTATGCCTTAACTCTTGGACCATTGCATGTGCATGCTCATTGTGCATTTCATTCTATCACTTCATCATTTTGGCCACTGTTTTGGTATGGCTGAGGCCTATCCATCTTCAGTGTAAGTCCATGGATCACGCGGTTTGTGTATTGTTGTATACCTATCGCATTGCATGTTGTTGCATACTTATTGTTGGTATCATTGTTGCATGCTTATCACATTGTATGTTTGTATATCTAGGATGCATAGTAGTATTACATATTTACTGCATACCATGTTGTTTACATGTTAGGTTGCATTGCATGGTATTTGCCATGCTCATGTTACATCGGCTTGTATTTCCATGTTGCATTGTACTTGGTTGCATGCATTGCATTGTGTTTGGTTTGGGGTGTCAAACCAAACACGAGGAGCGAGGGACGTTTCGTACTTGAAGTGACGGAACGTGCCTCAATCCTCAATCGCCGACACTCTTGATCCTACATGATAGAGTGTGTGGCATTCATATGTTTTGGTGCATCCATTCCACATCGATTTGCACACTTGGTTCCTTTGGCCATCATGCATTGGAATACGTGATTGGTGGCCCAAGGGTTGAGAACTACACTCCTTTGAGTCTTAAACATAATAAGGGGTGTAGTTGCAAACATTGTCTTGTAAATGTATTGCCATGCTCTGTTTGTCCTCCACTGCAGTAACAGGAGCAATTTGTAGGAAGAGATGGCCGATCGGCTATCTACAGTGCCGGCTAACAATTTTTGGTCGATGGATTCATAAGTGGTCGATGACCCATTTCTCCTGGCCGATGGCCACCCCTCCTGGCCGATGGCCTCTTAGAGTATCCAGGAGGTGGTTCAGAAGAATCACAGGGATTTATGAAGTTTTCAGAGGTGAAAAATAGTGCAAACAAAGGCAACATGAGGCATGGCAACGGATTTTCGAGCGAAGCCGACTGATCACGCATGCATCCCTCGTCACGAGGCCATTTCGGTGTTTTAATAACTTAGAATAGTTATTTGTTTCGATTTGGTAATGTAATAATTAATTAGCTTGTTAGTTAGTTAATTAGATGATTTGTATTATTCTTCTGGTCCCTCCGTCTAGAGGGCCAATTATTATAATAAGCGTGCGTGTGTGTGATGCGTATCTTCCAACCCCCATTTCTTTCTTCCTTTTACTTAACTGCTTACGATGGTTAGTTCTAGGGCATATTTCATTTAGCATTCTTATGCTATGCATGTTTGCACCATCCATCTGTATTGCATGCGCTGGGCTCGGCGCATCATACTAACTGCATTGTATTTCAATTCCAAGTTGAATACATGTATCGAATTGTCGCATCTCATATGCCATTTTAGACTAGCCGAGCCTATTCTAGTTGCACTTTGCATGCGATGCATTAGCCATTTTAACATGAAGTAGGATCATACATGATTTCTAACTAGTTTCTTATTTTGGCTCGGAGTACACTTTGAGTGTTTATGCTTTAGCATCTTGCATGAGTGTGAATGTTCCGCAAATTCTACTTTAGAAGCCAAGGTAGCGAGGGCGTCTGGGTGTCGATTGTTGGAGCGAGGAGCGTGTTCTATCCTTACCCTGTGCAGGCAGAAAGTAACGTTTCGTATATGCATCGGATGACATGAACGTAAGGTCATTGTTGCCTCTTCTCCAAGCCTGGTCAAGATAGAGTTGTCTTAGCAAGAAGACAACTATCTCGACGATCCCATGACCTCAGCCGCCAGTCCAGTATCCTCTGATGATCCCGAGCAGTAGTGCCTGGGTCCTGCTCCCAACCCAGGCATCCAAGTAGATAAATGGGCCAGGGCCTACCTTAGTGTTTAAGAGAGCCAAGGGCTCGCTTCCAAGTGACCAAGTAGGAGAATGGGCCGCGGGCTTATCTCAATGTTTAAGAGAGGGGCTCGCTTCTGAGCGATCAAGTAGGAGAATGGGCCGCAGGCCTATCTCAATGTTTAGGAGAGCCATTGTTTATCAATCCAAGTACAAGTGAGCCGGGGGCTGATTGTATTGTTGTTTGGCCTTGGAGCTAGGTATGAAGGACCATGGGCCCTGCGGGGCCATGGTGCTGCCTGTTGCAGGGCTCTTCATATCTAGATATATTTGGGCTTGTATATATGCTCCCGCTTAGGCTAAGCATATAGTTTTGGTTGCCTTGGCACATGACGCCCGTAGGGCTCGCCATGTAGTAAACATACGACATGCCCGACGTGGTGCCTTATTGGTCTGCCACGTGGGTGGGGTTTTGGTGATGTGGGCTTGCCACGTATTGAGCTTGATACAAGTACCCACAAGTATCATTTCTGTAATCAGCTGATAGGCCAGAGATACTTATGTATAGTCAAACACTTCTATATGTTTATGCAGTCGGACATACAAACTTATTTGGATTAGTAGAAGCCTTTGTCAAAGTAAGGAGAAGACAAAAGTTCCATAAAAATGATGTACATAAGTATTTTTTTTTATCGGTAATGATGTACATAAGTATTGACTGTACTCCTGATAAATTGGCCTTTATGTACTGATACGCATTGTTTGTTGCTCTCTTTCTTTTTCCTCATTGATGCTTGGCTTAGGTGTTTTTGTTGTTTTATGTTATATATCATATTCATATTCATATATAAGATATGAACAATTGTAGTTGAGTAGTTTTATTTGTAATTTTGTAGATTATTTATATTATATATGTATAGATTTACAAATTACAATCATGTGGGTGTAGGTGTGTTTGTGATTAGGATAAGAAGTGAGGGTGCCAGTTCTAATTATGTTTGTAATAATTGCTTACTAAATGAAATTTTTGTATTTTTAGCCTTGAAAATAGCATAAAAGTCAATGATATTTTACAAAACATGTTTTAGGTGCCACGGTGTTGATTAAAAAGCATTGTGCCACATGTTTGGTTGCATTGCCATATTCGTATCATATTTGTATCACGTATCTGTATATGTGCTTCATGGTTGGTAGTTCTACCATACTTATATATGTTGAATGAAACCATCGGCTCCAAGCTTGTTTGAGTGATGTTTTTTTTTTTTTGTGGTGTGTATATAATTGAAAGTAGCAAATATATATATATATATATATTCACAAACATGTATACACACATCAAAGGATTGGTCTTTTCTGTAACTGATTTCATGCGTTGACTGTATATTGTAGTTGAAGATTTGAGAACCTGATTCTTGGGGGGGAAAAGACAAGGGATTGACCTTCCAATGGGGTCGTTTTAGACATTTTGATTATTTAAGTTGATGTCAATACCTCCAGATGGTGGGAGTTTGGCTGGCTAGATATTGGTTTCTCACTAGGGTAGGGTATCCCAGGAAGCATCATAAAGAACAATTTATGGATATAGGCATTGATCATGGCTTGCAACTTTCAGTTGGTAGCATATTTTTCTTTTTTCCACTTCTCTGTTCTTTTTTCTTTATCTTTTTCTTTTTAATTTTTAGCAAAATATCATGTGTTAATGACTCAACTGACCAACCCTTATTGGATCATTGAGTGCATATACTTACTGCACATTGTTTTGTTGTTATGGGGTGATCATGACATGTGTTCAATGTTAACTACTCTTGACTGAAGATTTTTGTTTATTTCTTCAGAAACCACAGTTCAAGATGAACAATGGAGTGTTGGATATGATATTTTTTTTTTAGCAACACATGTAGGTGGTTTCTAGAGCAGTTATTTTCCTTCGGGGTTTCTCATAGCTGGGTTACAAGTGCATTAAATATGCAGGGTGTGCAATGAACATACAAACTATTAGGAGGTCTAATCCCGTTTTTATTTCAATATCTGTTCATATCTGTGTTTTTGTTTTTGTGTTCGCTTGCATGCATTTGTTTTGACCTTTTTACCACTTTGAGCTTAATTTAAAACAGGAGAATATTTAGATTTAAATGAAAAGGGTAGCACTAGGTAAAAACAATGGATTGATTAGTTTGTATCAAACATGTCCTGTGATTAACTCTGGTTCTTGTTGGCATTAATGCTAGTGATGCATGGTATTCCTGCAATCTTTGACATCTTCTGTTATCCGTGTTGCTTATCCTGTGCTTTTTTTTTGCAGAGAAACAGCTCAGACTGGTGGGACTCCTGGTATCTGAGCAACTTATTGAAAATTGATTTCTTTTGATATATCTGTCCATATTTCCTTTCAATGCAAGCTTCCATTAATATTGCTGCAAATTTCAGGAGCACAAAACAATATGGGACTGGAGTTGTTGATGAATGTGTTTGGTGGACTCGGAGCTGGGGGCTTAAATCTTCCAAATACACCTGATGGTAAGAATTTCATCGCATTTCTATGTAAAGTTTTTCTGATAAGCTTGCCTTTTAGCCTTTTGCTGAAAGCAAATATGCCTTTGTTTTTTATAGTGCCTCCAGAAGAGCTTTATGCTACTCAACTGTCACAGCTTCAAGAAATGGGTTTCTTTGATACCCAAGAGAATATTAGGGCATTACGGGCCACCTCAGGAAATGTTCATGCTGCTGTGGAGCGACTTTTAGGGAACCCTGGCCCGTAGTCAGTACACCTATTTTGAAATTTAATCAAAGATTCAGTTGGGCATGTAAAAGTTATCGATTTGGACCAGTGTCTCATAAAAGACAAGATGTGTTGGCACTTTCAATTCCATTTTGGGCTGTGTGAATAAGAAAGTACACACTTCCATGGTAAGAGGTGAACTTGGTGGACAAAGGCTTTTTCTTTACCAGGCAGTTACATGCCCTCTCTCTCTCTCCCTCCCTCCCTCGCTCTCTCTGCCAGTGCGCTGATGTACATACACATTTAAGTAATTCTTCTGTGAAATATTTTCAGATTTTATGGATATTGAAGGATGTTGTGATGCAATTCTTGCCCTGTTCCATTTTGATATTTAGTTGAACAGCATTTGTTTTGGGAAGTTCATGGTTTTTGTTTGGAGTTCAGATTACTATCAACAGTAGTCCTAACATGCCCCGGTGGATTGAATTCAGATTACTATCAACAGTAGTCCTAACATGCACCGGTGGATTGAATTTTCATTTCATCTCTCGTCTCGTCAGGTGTAAAGATTTATTAAGGGGCAACCATCCTATTTTCATAACAGGTTATACTTTCATCATCAAAAATCAAAAAAAAAAGACAGAAGATTTATGTAAAGCTCAAAGCTCAACAAAACAATATACAAGGGGCGGTTAGGGTTCTGGAAGTAGTTGAATCTCTTCTCATCTTGGTATTTTGTAAAGAGGCATGTTTTGTGCCTTATATTGCATGCATTTGTATGGATGAATAATGCATTTGATGTGAAAGAATTGGGGGATAAAAATACCAACATCCACATCTCTAAATTGGAAAGTTTGGTTGAAAATGCTTTAACATAATAGTATGACGAAAGTTTGTCAGAATTATTTGTTGGATAAATTTTACTTCGTACCCGTTAAGTTCAAATATTTTCTCTTTGGCCATCATTATTTATTTATTTAATTTTTTTTTTTCACCACTTGGTCTCCAGTGTTTTTATTTTTCCTAGTTTGCTCCGAAAAACCTACGCCCATCAAAATTGCTACTTTGGTAGCTACATGGTATCACGTGACATAATAATACATTATTATACAAATTTAGATATAGATCCAAACCCAAAACCAACCTACTAATGTTTGGGTCAACTATTGACAACATAGCTTAATGACAAGGAAAGAAATGGTGAGATCCTGACAACAAATGTGAAGATAACAGAAACTGACACCATAAGCATCGACCAAAATATATGCACTGTTAATTTGGGTAGAAAGCAATTACATATCCTTAACTCGTTGTACATGCATGTCCTTTCTTCCTTTCCCTGTTTCTCCTTATTTGTTTGTTTTCCGTCTTGCCGTCATTTTGTTTTCATTTCTTGCTGGCATAATTTTACATCATAAAACCACCCAACTTTCAAATGCATTTGGTCAATCAGTCAAGTGTGACAAAGTGGAAGTCTCAAGTTCTTGCTCTCTTTCAATGGGCACACTTCTCGATGGTGGACCAAACATACTCAATACCACCTGCAATCCACAAACACAAACCTATATATGGTTAGTAGTCCAATATTTTGCATTACAGTATGGTCATTTACATGACAGGGCACATATGTGGTGAAAAATGCCACTTGAAGCCCCATGTGATCACGTACTTTAATTTTTTGGGGGGCAACTGTCCATGTTTTGAAAAACAACTACATCATGTGCTCACAGCAAGATATTGAATGCCAAATGAAGCCAATAGATGATTGGACAGCCGCCTTGGGGAAGAAGCTATGACACATTGCCGTATTGTTCTAAGTGATATTAAATGTACTAATACAATACAAGCAGGTGACATCATTTGTGTGGGCAGTAGGAGAATTTAATTGACTTACCGGCAAAAACACAAGCCCATGTAAGAATCCAATAATAACCAATGCCAGGTACATTTGAAAGTAATAAACCTGAAAATGCAAAAGCATCATTTAAAATTCTCTAAACTGACAAACAAACAAAACTGAAAGTCAGGGATGGATCATTATACCACAAAAATCTCTGATTTTGCGAAATAAAGGACAATGACTCCAACTAGCTTTGTGAGTGTAATTCCACTGCAAGACATAAAACAGCAAAGAAAAATGAAGAAAAAGTAGTAGTCAAATAACAATGTCGTGATAAATCAACTCCAAGCCCACCCACCATACACAAGCACACCACGACAGAAGCTAGAGAAAGGTTCCAAATGTAATTCCCAATACTAGTGAGGGGAAAAAAAAGGAAATTTGACTGCTGTAGCTTTTGTCTATTTTCTGTAACGTGGAGAATTAGGCAGTGTCTGTCCATACCAAACTCATAAATTTGCAAGTTGCAACCAAGTTACAGAGGGCAATGTTCAGAAACAGTTGTGTGGACAGGAAACAAGAACAAAAATGATTCCGGGACAAATAGTTAGCAAGAAGATTCTCCAACAATGCTAAAGACGAATAGTTTAATTTCTCTAGGCATGGTGACCATTAGGTATCAGCTATGTTAGGGAAACCAGTTTTTGTTTCCGCAAAGTAAGACCCAGGATGATGAATTTTAGCATTAAGTATGAACCTTGATGCAGGTTGCTGGAAATTTGTGTTAATGTATATAAAAAGATAGTGGCATGTATATAATATGATAGTGGTGTTGGTAGTAGATAGTGGCATGTATATAATATGATAGTGGTGTTGGTGGTAGATAGTGGCATGTATAAAATATGATAGTAGTGTTGGTGGCAATGTATATAATATGATAGTGGTAGATAGTAGTAATATATAATATGTAAGTGGTATATAATGGGTTATAATGATGTTTGTAATATCTCCTATATAAGGAGTGTCATTTGGTCTTGTAAGATAAGAAGTTTTGAATATAACAGAAATATATTCCTTCTTCCTCATATTTTCGGAGTTCTTCTTCCTCATATTTTCTAAGTTGGTATCAGAGCAACAAAAAACACAGCAGCCCTAAAACCGTCATAGCCATGTCGGAAGTCACGTCCGAAACCACTTCAACCCCTGCCGCTGCCATTCCAGTGAAAACGTCCAACTCTCACTCTGTCCAAATCACCACCATCCGCCCAAATGGTGATAATTTTCTCCCCTGGTCACAATCTGTCCGGATGTATATCCGTGGGCAAGGAAAGATCAGTTACATCACTGGTGACAAGAAGGCTCCTGCTGTTAATGATCCGCTGTTCGACAGTTGGGACGCTGAAAACTCCATGGTTATGACATGGTTGAATCGTTACTCACAGAGTTTAGGCTACAG